ATATACCAGTTAGCAGCCAACAGAATACAAAGGCACGCATTTCTTTCTAGCAGAGGATTAGTAAAATTGCTGTAGCAGCAGCCATCCATTAGGAATAGATGGCTGCAGTCTAGTATTAAGCAAGAGTCATTATACAGCTTTCAGATAGCACATTTTTGGACCACAGTTCTAGTTGCACTTGTTGTTAAGTTTAATTTAGGTGAAATTGAAAGAATTTTAGCAGTTAAAATAAACTTTGCACCTGAGTAGCTTTGCAGCCTCTGTACAACAACGAAAGAATTCTCATGTCTTTGGAGCACCACGTATTTCCTTATACTGCACAGGGGAGGCACAAGCTCAATAGTATAAGCTTTACTGAATGCCATTTCATTTTCAGATATTTTTTCTTTATTACATTAATTCAATAAGCCCCTGAGTGCCATTTTCAGAAGAGAGTATGTATGGCACGACAGCTGAGCCTCACCACTTACTTTGCACAACCTCAAGCAAGTAACCTAAATCTTTCTGGGCCTCTGTTTTTAGTTATAATACACAGACAATACTCTTAATGTCAATCTTGAATATAAGGATTATACATTTTATATTCACAATACCATTAATATTGTTATACTTATACTATTTAATAAGTAGACATAACATTAGTAATATATTTAATGAGCACTCACAATGTGCCAGGCACTGTACTAATACTTAACACCTGATATAACACTCAGCACAGAGTAGGCACTCAATAGGCAGTTATGAAGAATCATATCCTTGTTTCAAGTACATGTTTCATGTTCTAGATAATATTATTACTCCAAGTAATAATTCATACCCCATGTATCCCAAATGACTGTCAAGCATTTACAAAATATATCTCCCCTGATTTCGAGCACAGGGAGATGGTCCTCCCCACCAAACAGAACACCAGCTAAATAATTATACATTTTTGTATCCTGAGCTGAGTCAGGCTAACTATACTCTCATTATTCAACACTGTTAATAATACACACACCAAAATGGTTTAATGACATACTCGTATGACAGAAGAAACAACTATTGACATGTGTTAGGCACTGTGCTGAAACGCCACACATATTATTTTTAATCTTTACACTAGCTCTGCAGGGTATGAGGGTTTTTTTCCTACAGCTGACAAAACGAAGTTAGAAGTGAAGTGATCAGCAAGGCCACAGAGAGAGTAAAAGTGGAGCTGTGGATGGAACCCGGGTTTAGGTGGTTCCAGAGCCATATACAAAAATGATCGGCTGGCTCTAGTTAACTTTGTTATTAACATAGACATGTTTCTTATATTTGGATCCACGCAAATCATGCAATTGTACTTTTAAGGAAAGTTAAAGGGTAAACTATAATAATTTTAAAATAACTGCTTACCAACAGTTAAGTATTATACTTTTCAAACAACAAATAATTCTGAAAATAAGTCATTAAAACGAGATCTCTCTCCACCAGCTACAAATACCAGACCAAAAGAGGCTATGTGGAGCTTGTCAATTTATCTAAATTCATTTCTCATATAACACATTGCTTTTTCCTGAAATGCAAAGCACAATAATTGGGAGGAGACAAACAGAAATCAAGGGAATAAGTAAATTAATTTAATAAAAGGCAACATAGTATAGCCAGTTTTAGGGTTGAATCCCAACTACTCCACTAGTTCTTGGCTATGTGACCTTAGGCAAGTTACTTAACCTTTCAGAGCTTCAATTTCCTCAATTGTAAAACCCTACTTTGCAGGGCAGTTGTGAGAATTAGGGATAATGTGTATAAATCTCTCATCATACTAACTAACAGAGGATAGACAAAATAAATTTTAAGTCTAGGACTTATAGGGAGCCAGATGATTTAGAGTTTCTGGTGAGAACAACTTTAAAGAATAACTAAAAATGGCTTAGAGATGTCACAGATTTTTAGGAAGAAGTGGATATTATAAAAATACCTCTAAGCTCCAGAATGTTTATCCTTTTGAATTAATTATTCTCCCAGGATTCTGGTTCATGCTACAAATGTTCTAGGAAATGTCAAAACCCACAACCAAACAGTCAAATGATACAAAGTAAGTCTCCACCCTAAACCAGGCCAAATCAGTATCAATGAATTTCTTCCCACAATCCTCTTAGATGAGAGAAGAAAATAATGTACTTAGGGCATTCTACATTGATTTGAGTGGAAGCAAGAGTTTCTCATTTCTCTCTCTAGCTATATTAGTCTCTGACTGAAAATTTAGGGAGATACAATATCCTCTCCCACACTTCGTCTTGAAAACTGATAATTCTCATGCAATGTAAAATGTAAACAGGCATATGGGAAGTGAAAGCATTTAGAACTTTTCATTTCAAAGACCTGAAAACACTTGCCATAAGTTACATCCTAACTTCCCTGGACCTGTGTTCGTGGTTACTCTGTAGTTTGAGAGAGCAGAAAAGGGCTAGCCACACGGTTAAGCCAACAGCATAGAAATTAAGGGAAAACAAGGAAAGACAAGCAACATCAGCAAAAGCTCTTATAAATACAGGCAGTGGGGTGGGAAAAACGTATTATCAAACCATACACGGGTAGGCAAAAGTAGGCTTACATAATGCAAATAATAAATAAATAATACCAGAATAAAGACTGTTTCTTGAAGTCACAACTGTAAACCTCTTTTTGCCCACCCCTGCATACAGGAAAGGGTGGAGGAGTCATCACGCGATCTAGAATGCTGAGTAAAGAGCTCTCAAGAAGCTGAAAAATAATTTGAGAAGTAAAACGGAACCACAGGAAAGGCAGCACCTGAGGAGGGGCAGGGACTGAAAGTAGGGTCACTCCTCTTCCTAAGCTGTGATTCCCCCCTTCCCCCTGAGGGGCGGCCTCATTTCTTTACTCCACGAATCTCGTCTTCTGCACTAAACGGTAAATTCTTTCAATGCAGATCCATCTGCTTCTTCTCTAAGCCATCGCAGTCCCTAATGGCAGTGCCAAGCACACAGTAATTTAACACAAATGGAAAGCCCTACCGGTGCGTCTCAAACTCCTCGGGCTGACTCAATACATTTCATACCACAGCGGAACTGTCTAGTCTGACTCCCGAAACAGGCAGGCTGGGGCTCCGGCCCAGAGAGATGCTCAGTAAACAAGGTTTACGAAGTAACCTTTTGTGGGCTTGCTTCCGTCCCCCGCCCCCACCATCCCTCTCGCTCCTTAAAGGTGAGGACCCGCGATAATAATCAGCATCCTCCTCCCGCTTAGAATGCTAGTTTCCCCTGATGCTCCGCAAGCTTCCAGAGGACAGGGGTCGGATCTTTTTCATTTTTGTGTCCCACAGCCCATTACAGGGTAGGTGCAGCACAAACTTCCGCTAATTTCAGCAGGAACGGCGTGCGGGTGTGATTAAGATGGAAAACAGGAGTACACAAGTGGGAGGTAGCGGTTGAATGGTGGATTCAATCGCCAGGTTCTCAGAGCCGACAGAGAAGAGGGAGAGCAGAGAGATGGGCTGCCAGGGAAGGGTTGCAGCCCGCTTCGGACGCGCCCTACCTTGGGGTAGGTGTGCAAGGGGTAGGTCAACTGACAAACCCGGTGGCAAGACGCTGTATCACCCAAGACCGAGTCAAACGCTTCGGCCGCAGCGGTCCCCAAGCCTCCGGCCAGGGCCACGGTCAGCAGCAGCAGCGGCGGGAGCCCCAGTTGGGCCCTGACCCAGAGGCTCCCTTTCGGCGCCGCCATTTTGTTCCCCTCTCTCACAGCAGCTGTTTGTTGCTATTTTCTTTTCAGGGTTTCCTCCTCCTTCCGGGGCCAGACCCTACTCAGCCCCAGGGCCGCCACTTCCGCCTCCGCTGTCCCTCTCAGTTCCGCCCTGGTCGGAGCGAAACTGACACCTCCGCCCCAGCTCCGGGTCTGCGAACTTCCAGATTGGAGAGGAGCGGTGAAGCCAACCAACGCGAGTGTTAGTGCACGCAGGCCCCCCGCCTCCTTTTTCCCCTTTGGGGGGCACGCTGGGGCACGTAGTTCCCCACAGGCAGGAGCTGCACGGTACGGTCAGGAAAGCTGGTCTGGGAGAACTACAGCCGCCCACGGCGCCACCGCATCTCCCCCACCCCCTTCGCAGTGCATTCTGGGGAATGTGGTTTGCTGTGGTCTTGAGGCTCCTCTTCGCACAACTACCGCCCTGGATGGAGGCATCCGTTTAGTTTCATCAGGCTAGGAGGCCTCAGGAGGTGTTCTCTGGAGGGGCCTAGCTGCTGCCAGGGCTGCTTTTCCTGGTGGGTTTGTTGCTAGTTCCCCTTTCTGGGCTCGTGAGTGGTGAGGGAAGAGGAAGATGGTTGTTACTTTTGCTTGGGGATCCGGAAGACTGTAGTCAGGTGGGTCCTCTGACCACTAGGCAGTGCGAGGAGATGGTTGCTTGTTGTGAGGACCCTGTTGAGATCTGGAAGCGGTTGTTGATGGCTGGTTACTAGAGGAACCCTTGGGATTGTGGCTTATGCTGGGGTGGTTGTTAAGAGAGCTTTGTTGAACCCAGTGGAGCTTTTAATCCTAACAACCCAACCTAGGTTGGAAGAGGCCTGTCACTAGGATCAGTGTTGGCCTGGGCCAGTTTGGAGTCCCTGCCACAGTATGCGCTTCTGAAAGTTGGGTCCTTCCTAACTGAAACACATTGTACAAGTTTCAGTTCTTAGGAAGATGCTACTTTTTCAAAGAAATCATCCTGTAAATTCCAACCCGTAGTCCTCCTGATTCAGGAATGCTTCCAGAATGTATAGAACCCAATTGTGTCACTTTAGGGAGCACACATCCCAGCAGGTTGGATGACGTTTTAGAATCGTCCCTCTCTTTTGAGCAGAACACACTGCAGGCAGTGAAGGTGGTTGGAGTCCCTTAGAAATGGATAAATTCGTCATTCGGATGCCAAGGCCCCAGAGTAGTCCTCAGAAGAAAGATCCTGGAAGAAAGATTTACAAGCAGGCCACGATTGAATCTCTGAAGGTGAGAGGGAATCGGGGACTAAAAACGTGCAGTGGACTGTGATGGCAAGGTGGTGTGCAGAAGTTCTGCGGAAGACCTGTGAACTGTTTCTGCTATGCTTCCTCCCGGAGTGTTCCTGACCACTCCTAATTTGTTTCCCCCGAACCCTCTACTGACTTTTATTGATCAATTCCCACGTTCCTTTTACTCTTCTCATTACTTTGGCTTTTTAGGATGTTTTGCTCCCTGTGTTATTCTTCTTGTACAAAAGTTTCTCCATTAGGAATGTTAAAGTACTGAGTGATTCTGTGTACCCTGTATACACTCCATAAGGCTGGGTGATGATGGCGCACTCTCCTATCTTGTTGGCCAGAACTGTATCACGTGACCTCCATAGGTACAGCTGAGAGTGGGAAAGAGACTCTTTTAGTGGACTCTTTGCAGCCGGGGTGTTTTATGTTTTAGCAAGAAAGAATCAAGGAATAGAGACAGCTCATTCTTGGATAGACAACCAAGAATGAGTCCGTTAACACTGACACCCAATTAATGGTAATTATTATTTTACTAAAAAACAAAACAAAACCCTGCTATGATTAGTTCCCTTTGTCTTCTTGAGCCTCTCCTCCTCCGTATCTGACTTTCCTTTACTGGTTTCCCTTCCTCCACTAGACTTCTAATGTGTGTGCTCCCAAGAGCTTTGTTGCATGTTTTATGTATTTGGCCAGGGTGACCTTCTTCATGTTGAGACTTCCCATGCTGATGACTACTTACTTGGACCTCCAGCCTAGATTTCTGAGGGTGAGAATGGAATTTGAGGCTAGACAAAATGTGCAGGGAATTGAGATAGCAAGGTGGCATTCTGTGCACTTGACCTGTATACTCAGATGGACTCTTCTAGATATGCCACAGGCTTACCAGCTCCAGGTAAGGACGTGGTGCAGGGGAGTGGAAACAGCAGCCCGGGGTCCCAGTCCATGCCGTGCAGCTGGGTGATCTCCAGCAAGTCATTTCCTTCTGTGGGATCTCAGTTTGTCCTCATTCCTAAAACGTAGGATTGAACAATGTCACTTTTTTTTAAAGGAGTACTGTTGTCATTTGGGATAAAATAATTCTTAATTGTTTGGGACTGTCCTGTGAGTTGTAGGAAGTTTAGCATCCCTGGCCCTCAGACACCTCCCGTGGTGCTAACCAAAAGTACCCTCATGTTTCCAAGCAGCCCTTGGTTGGTTGCTTGAGACCTACTGAACTCTAGATTTTCTTTAAAATTGCTCCTTGTCTCGAAGTTCTGTGACTTCATGGAACACATTCAACTTGTCGACTGTCTCTTTTTTCAGAGTATTCACGGATATGGTGGTGGGTGGGACTGTGGAATCAGACTGTGTGGAAGAAAAAGAGGAGGGTGATAATTAAACTATACGTACACTCACATACAACCGTATTCTACTTTACTTCTGCCTGTCCTTTCTCTCCTCTACGTTTCTACTTTTGTGTCCCAATTCAGAGACACTGTATGATGATGAGCATAAGTCAGAGGGAGATTATGGAATCAGAATAAATTGTAGGCATATGGAATAACATTTCTATTAAATGCAATAGCTTTTCTTTCAATCTTGTTCTTTATTCTCCTGTATTTACTTTGTATCCATACACCAAGTAACTAGGACTAGAAACAGAAACCATCCTTAACTCTTTTCTCTTGTATGCAGTTTTTCAACTGTGCTTCCTAAAAATCTTTCCTGTCCTTATGTCTCCCGCTATAAATTCAAAACTGTTATTAGTTCTCATGTGGAGCAGTGCCATGGTCTGTTAACTTAGCATTCCCTGTCATTGTCCCCTCCACATGTTAGCCAGAGAAGTAAGTCTTTCAAAAATGAAAATCTCTTCAAGTCATCTCCCTGCCTTCAGTGGTTTCTCCTTACTTATCAATAAAGACATTGCTTTACGTGACACCCAAGGCCCCCCAAGGCCTCCACGACCTGGCACCTGCCTGCCTCATCCCCTGCTGGCTCTTCGTATGTATATTCCATCCAGTGTCAGCCACTCACAATTTACCAAATATGTGTTCTTTTGTACCTCCATCCCTTTGCATATGCTTTCCCATTTGCTTAGAATGGCTTTACTCCCTTGTCTTGGAAAGTGGTATAGTTGGATGTGGTATAGTTATTAAAAACACGGACTCTGGAGCCAAACTGTCCATGTTAAAATCCCAGCTCTGCCATCACTACTGGTGTGATGTTGGACAAGTTATTTATTTTTGTCCCCTGTGCCTAGCACAGGGCTTAGCGTATAGAGGTCTGCAACACATTTTTCTGAATGACCAGATGAACTAAAACTCCAAAAGCCTTGGCATGGCGTGTGTTACCTTTTCTGCTCTGACCCTGTGAGCCTGTTGTCTCATCCCTTGTAGCTTCCTATTCACAGGAATACTTCCCAGCTGCAACCCATTTCTTGCTCTTCTCTGTATAAGCTGTTCTCTTTCATGCCTCCAGGGCTTTGCATGTGGCTGGTCCCTTTTCCTGGAAAGCCTTTCTCTTTCTTTTTACAGAGTGAATTCCTACTCATTTGTCAACCCACTCAAATGCAACTTTTCCCTGTGAATTGTAGATTATAAATTTCCTGAGTACAGGGACCTTAGTTATTTTGTTTACCTCTGTATTCTTGGACCTGTTGCAGTGCTTGACACATATGTAAGTAGTCAGTAAATATTTAAGTGGCTGTTGAAAGGCTTTCTAGGTCCTTTGGGGGAGTTCATCCTTCCCTCTTCAATACGCTCTTAGCACTTGGCTCAACTACCTGTTATAGCACTTACCTCACTATATTATGCTTACCTGATTACCTGTAGTTCCCCAGTCTACTATGAGCTCCTACAGACTGGGACCACAGTATCTTACTTTGTTCTAATTCTGCTCCAGTACCTAACACAGTACCTACTACGCTGCAAGTAGAAACTTATGGAGTAAATAAGAATCATCTTTATTTGGAGGTGCCCTTGGAGGGTCTAGATATTAAACTATCCTATAAATATTATTATTATTTTTTTGAAGATTTTACTTATTTATTTTTAGAGAAGGGGAAGGGAGGGAGAAAGAGAGGGTGAGAAACATCAGTGTGAGAGAGAAACATGCATCCAGGCCCATGAGCGTGTGTACCCAGGCATGTGCTCTGACCTGGAATCAAACTGGTAACTTTCCCCTGTATGGAGCAATACCCATCCAACTGAGCCACACCAGTCAGGGCTCTATAAATATTATCGTGAAATAAGTTTATGTCCAGCACTATGCTAGGTACTCTAGGGAACATAAGAGAAACTCAAGGTCAAAGTATGAGCCCTCGTGGGACTTCCCATTAGAGGATCATATAGCATAAGAAATTATTAAGTAATGATATAAACTCATAGTGATCCATTACAAATTTGGTTTTCAGGCAATAAGAGTTAAGAGAGAAGAGAGCTCAGCGTCTTTTTTAGTGGTGAGAGCACCCTAAAGGGGGATGGACAGATTTGGCTAGATCGAGGGAAGTAGTGGCAAATAACCATTCAATAAGTGGTACTTGCTGTTCACTTTCCTTTATGCACACATACCTGCTTACTTTCACATGTACACAGTGATAAATTATGACCAAGTTGAGTTCAGTGTGAGTTCTAGAGAATTACTTAGCTATACTCTCTGCCAGATGATTTATTCCCACGCACCAGCATCACATTTTGATGCCAAGAAATGTGCTAAATGTTCAAGCCTCAGTTTCCTCATCAGTGACATCAGAAGTAACAACATCTAACCTGTAGTGTTATTATAAGGGCTAAATAAATAAATGCATGTTGAAAGAGCTAGGCATTGTGCCTGGGATGTAGTAAAAACTAAGTTTCCTTTTTTTCATGTACAGAAAAGAAAGGTTTGTGCAATAAAACTAGAACTGAGAATCATGATGATGATAATAGTAATAATGACTACTACCAACATCTACTGAGTTCTTTCCAATGGGCCAGGCATTGGGCTAAGTGCTTTCCATAATTTAACTCTTTAAATTCTAATAACAGTTCTGTGAAATGGATGCTTTTATCATTTATATTTTACAGTTGAAGAATCTAAGGCACAGAGAGAGTAAGTAGTGTACTCAAAGTCATGCAGCTATAAACAGATAAGGTGCTTCTCAGATAAGATCAAATTCAAGGAGTTCATCATCACCAAGCCCTTATTATATGAACTGTTAAAGGGACTTATCTAAGAAAAAGAAGTTAAAGAAACATGAACAGTGAAAGGACAACAAACTCACAGTTATTAACAACCACACCTAAAACGAAAGCAAACTAAAAGGACAGCTAGATCAGGAGTGGAAACATAGAAATGAAGATCTCAAGGAGGGTTAGCAACAGGGGAGTGGGAGGAGGAGATGGAGGGAGAAGGTACAGAAAATAAGTAGCATAGACAGTAGATAGAAAATAGATGGGGGGGGCAAGAATAGCATGGGAAATATAGAATCTAAAGGACTTGAGACACATGGTCATAAACTAAAGGGGGGTAATGGTGGGGAAGGGGGGTAGGGTGGAGGGGAATGAAGGGGGGAATAGAACAACTGTAACAGCATAATCAATAAAAAAATTAAAAAAAATAAAATTAAATTTTAAAAAATGATGGGATTTGAACTAGATGATCTGATTCAACAGTCTGCCCCTTATGAAAACTGTTTTGAAAAAGTGGAGTTTCTGAGTGCCATGCAGAGGAAGTATAAAAATCTTAGAATATTAGCACCATTGTACTTCTGTTATCAGTATAGTACAAGTAATTTTGCCATAGCCTTATCACATTCAGTGAAAGTGGTACTCAGTAGAGCTCATGTAGTGTGTATTTGAATGGTAAAGGTTAATTTGGTTAATCTCTTCTTACTCCCTTAAAGGCACATGGCTTCTTATGTTGGTTGCAATGGGAGATTTTATTTTATTAAAAGATTCTAAAATACACTAATTCTTTTAGGTTCAGCACTTAAGAATGCTCTATAAACCTTTCCTTCCTTTGTAGGATTGACTAGCCAATATCTGTCTCCTGCCCCCACCAGTGGAATGGTGCCCATGTTATTGCTTACGAGAGAATCCTTGTCCCTAATTGGTTTTGTCAAACTTGATATTTCAGCCATCCATAACTATGAGACCAGATGTGTTTTGAAGAGCACCTCTTCTTTCTGGCAGTAACCATTCCACTACTCATTGCGGCTGCCCCATTGATACTTCATGTTCACTTCCCTTGTTCCTCTCCATAATTCTGTTACAAACTTAACATACCTGTTTTGAGCCCTGGCTGGTGTAGCTCAGTGGATTGAGCATGGGCCTGCAAACCAAAAGATCGCGGTTCGATTTCCAGTCAGGGCACATGCCTGGGTTGCAGGCCAGTTCCCAGCAGTGGTCACACAAGAAGCAACCGTACATTGATATTTCTCTCCCTCTTTCCTTCCTTTCCCTTCTAAAGATAAATAAAATCTAAAAAAATAAATAAATAAATAAGAAATACCTGTTTTGGGCCCATATTTGGACAGAAATAAGGAAACATTCTTTGGTATGTATGGAATTCTTCTGCTCTGAAACTGACTGCTATATTTTTCTGTTTCTGCCCTAAAATTTCAGGTCCAAAAGCTATGCTATACTTAGTCCTTGAGGGTAGACATGACTTTGTTCAATTACACGTACTATGTGCTGGGGATAGAGAGACAAACGAATTGTTCCAGCCCTCAAGTCGCTCATAGTCCAGTGGGGCAGACAGCCTTGTAGATAAGTATATGCAGAAAGCAGAGATACAGTAATAGAAGTCTGTGCAGAATACAGAGGGACCCAAAAAGGAGTATGCTCAAATGTGGTTGGAGAGAGGCAAGAATGGCTTCATAGAGGAGGTGATGCTTAAAGAGAATCTTAAAAAATAAATAGGCGAAGAAAGAGCATCCGAGGCAGAGAGTGAAATACTGTGACTCATTTAGGCAGCTTTAAATCCTTTGGTGTATCTGGAGCAAATGATGAGGCTGAAAAGGACATCGAGAGCGAAGTCGTGTAAGGCCTTTTATTGCCATGCTGAAGAGTGTGGGCTTCTGTAGTTCCATACGCTAGAATGAGCTGAGTGGAACCCTGAGCCTCATTTTGACCATGTGGAAGTGCTGAATAAAAAGTCTCCTAACACAGAGCTGAACTCAAAAGCAAGAACGAGAAATCCTCAAGTACAAGGAAAAAAGAGAAAATGTAAACCCAGAACTGCAAGTGGGAGCTGAAGTTGAATAGTTCTATTGAAACCAGATGTAATGCTTAAGGGGCTGGGGTTTTAGGGCCAGTACGGGGATTTTGCATAAGTCCTCAGAGGGCTAATAACCCGTATTTGAAGCTGAGAGCCAAAACAGGGCTAACGTGTTTGAGAAAAATGAACTAGAGAAATTCCATTAGTCTAATGACACAGAATAAAGATGTGATCTTCCCAGGTTTTGGGATGAAAAAAGGAGTTCACTATAATGAAGTAGAATCCCACACTTATTACTGTGCATGGAGATATATATCTGTATATTTACATTTATATATTTCTGTGTATATATAGTTTAAAGCCATATTATCTATAACCCTGAATATTCATTAGGAGAATAGATTTTAGAGCTCCAAGACATTTGTATGTAAAATACTATTAAAGTGGTTCATCTGGCTTTATATATATCAATGTGAATAAATGAATATAATATATTGAGTGAAAAAGCAAGTTGCAGAATGATACAATATTTATACCTTCTTCCTATTGAAAATATCCCAGTGCACTAAAACCTGATTAGCACAGTATCACAGCCGAAAGTACAGCCTTTCCTGTCTTTACCTCTCCTCCTTTTCCAATCTTTGAACCTGGAAGAGTCAGAGATCAAAGCAAAGAAGCAGATGGGGGAGGAGGAGGAGCAAAGACAGGGAAGTGGGCGGGGCCAATGCCTCCTTCTCCCAGCAGTCCTGCTAGGCGGGAAGCAGACCCCAGCCAGGGAGGCAGTTGAGACTTTTGTGTTGCTGCTTTTTATTGAATTATCACATGCATATAGAAAAATGGACAAACCATGAGTGGACAGTGTGACAGGTTTTCACAAAGTGAACACACCTGTGTCACCAGTATCCACATCAAGAAGCAGAATTGCCAGAGTCCCAGAGCCCCCAACACCCCCTCCCATTCTCTAACTGGGGCCCCTCCCCAGGGTAATAGCCATCGAGGTAAGAATTTTTAAATTATAAAAGCAACTTTATTATTTTGTGTCTGTTTACTATAGAAACAACAGAAAAGTTGTAACACTTTTCTATCCCTTCTCTCATATTCCTTAATTGTTAAAATTTTACACTTAATGGAAGTATGGTAGTTTCTTCTAGGAACAGAAGGAGGGGAATGAGTTTGGTGAAGGGTGTAAGGAAATTTAAACTTTGTAATGTTTTATTTATGAAAAATGGCAAAATGTTCACTTTTTTATTAAAAATAGTGAATTAGTCTACCTCTATTTGAAATTTTTTAAAAAATCTTCAAACAACAGACAGTTTGAATGATATCATCTAGGTAGTGGGAACTGTTGAAGTGTGCTTTTATTGTTGAAATAAATATGTCTTTATGACTTTTCTGCTCTCTGTCCTTGTCTATGAATTAAAACACTGAAGTGAGCTATAGGGTTGATTCACCTCAGCATCGTTTTTCTTTTCTTCTTATCCTTATTGCTTCTTACTGCTAAGTGCCCAGTGGTATCTGACATGGTAAGATTAAAACTTGCACTTTTCCTAATAGATGCAACTCTCTTCCTGATTTGCAGTAAGCAGGACCTGCTTTTAAGCAATTACCCATCATTTGGGGCTCTCACACACACTGTGCTGTGGTTCAGGTCATAATCAATAATTCAGATGTCAATAGGAGCCCCATTAGCTCAGGTGAAGGCAGATGTCTTTCTAATGAAAATGTTCCATTTTCCAAATGACTGTTCTTTTTCCCAGAGAGTTGTGGTTGTAGAAGACATAAAAAGATGGAAAACTATGTTGGAGCTTCCTGATCAAACCAAAGAGAATCTGGTTGAAACCTTAAGAGAATTAAAGAAGAAAATACCCTCCAGGGAAGTTTTAAAATCAACAAGGATAGGTATGTTCTTTCTGAATGTTATACAAAGTGCTTATATTTTGTCTTCTTTCCTCCCTCACTCAACAATTAAGTTATGTGCTTTTCAAACTATACATGGTAAGAGACCGTTATTTTAAAAAGTTTCCATTGGTGGCACACCAGATTTTCATAATACGGGTCTGTACAGAAGGTACCCAGCCATGTAATATGAAAAAGAGACATTTATCGAAGAAGATCCTTGATACAAGAAACATTGTACATGGGACAGTGACACCTCAATCCTCTTCAAAGTAGGCACCTTGGGACCTCACACAGTTCTCCCAGTCGCCATCAGCTGCCCTGTTGTATTTTCCTCGGTCTCATCAACAGTCTGAAATCTCTTCCTTTTCAAAGATGATTTTGTTTTTTGGAAAAGCTGGAAGTCACGGCATCAAATCTGGACTATGGGGGGCTGAGTCACCTGGGAGATTTCATATTTCACAAAAAACTGCAGGAGATGATGCATGAACATGCATGTTGTTGTGGTGCAGCTGCCGATTACCAGTTGCCACAGCTGTGGCCTTTTAAATCATCTGAATAGTTTCCACAGAGGACTGTTCAAGCTTAATGCAAAGTTTGATATAAATTCGTTTACACATGCGGCCACACAGTACACGTGCTTACTCAGTGGTGTTTACTGCCCCCACTGAGCAGTACAGTGAAGTTGTCATTGTTCGCACATGTGCTTTTAAGCCACTCTCCTTGGCTGCCAGGGTACATTGATGTCACACAAAATGTTCTCATTATATAAACAATAGCTGGACTTTTTCTGGACAGACCTCATCGTACATTTTTTTTTTAATTACCAGAAAAATAAAATTAAAATACATAAAATACAAGCCCCTTATTTTAAAAATTTATTCAACAAGTGTAGAATTATTCTGTCAAATTGCTCTAAAAGTTTCTAAATACTTTAGTTCCTATGCTATCTTCATGAACTGGTAACTGATAGTGATCTTTGGCCAGATAACATTTTGAGTGTGCTTGATCCTGGGTGTGCAAAAATAAGACATGGTTTGTGAACTCAAGGAACGTAGGGTTTGGTGGAAAAATAAGCACGTAGACAAATGTGAACATTAAGAAATTAAGGTTATCCAAGCGGTCCCGCAGAAACATTGATTTTCTCTCCCTCTCCCCCTTCCCCTCAAAATAAATAAAATCTTAAAAAAAAAAATTCTAGGTTATAAATTAAAAAATCGAGATAATGTCCTGAGTACTATTCTGAGCTATATAAGGTATATGTTGGCATAAAGAATGGAGTGGTCACCTTTACCTGGGGAATTCAGAAACGGCTTCATGGAAGAGGTGACATTTCAGTTAAATCTTGAAAGAGGCTTGGTTTTTCTGTCTGGAGTAGAAATAACTTGCAAAGTACGGTAAATAAAAACAAAATGATCGCATCCCTTGCTGCTACATCATTTGTTATAGCATTGGAGATACTTAAAAGGTAAGTCAGGGCCTAGGTTGAATTGCCGTCTTAGTGCAGTACACAACTGTGAATAACATGCAAGGGAGAGCCACCATGTGTTCTTCAAGCTGCTCCCAACTCCCTAGGGAGTCCGGGGTAGTCATTCACAGCTGCTGTTCTTGCCCTCACACTAGTGCAGCCATTGCCTTCTCTGCCTCCCCTTGACCTCTTGTTCATGAGAAGCAGAAGAGAGAGCAGCTTCATACTGGTGCTAACAGCTGGCAAGAGCTGTGTGAAATCCCCCAGAGAACCCCCTAGAGTCTTGAGAGTTGCACCCCTGTAATATAAACCAGAATCTGAGAAAATTAGATGCTTAAAGAACATAAAACCCTATCATTATAGCCAAGGAACTGCTCCCATCTGCTGGCGGATTTTCTCTTTATAGGTTGTGGTCACTAGAGGGCAATAAGACCATTCATATGAGCAGATAAGGTATTTCCACCAGTAGAGGGTACTAGTGATTAATATTTTATGACATGTATATATTTACATATATGGATGTATCTATTCATATTTAGGCACACACCACAGTTACTATTTATGATCAGATCTTAAATATCAACATAATAGGCTAGAATTATTCTACAAATACAGACCACAATAATTTTTTAAAAATCATTTCTATTCTTTGAGTATGCTTTTAAGAATGGGTGTGTCTCGTCAGCAGTTTCAATTCAAGGATCATAATGGAACCACAACAAGGTGGCTTGACTTGGGAGGAACTGGAAACCATCCAACTTTTGCGTCTTGAGCCTGCCCCAAGCTTCCCTAAACCTGAGGTTGTATGGAGTATAAGGGTTTCTTGATTTCTTTGTACTTAGGACAATTGCTAAGCTCAAGATTCATTTGGATCATTGCCTGAGCATGTTTACATTCTTCCACCTTCAGCCTCCTGCCTGTCCCTGTCCTGTGGGCTATAAGAGACAGATATTTACTGAGGGCCTTCTTTGTGCTAGGAACTGTGCGGGCTTAATAATGGAGGCAGATATTTTGCACACCTCTTTGAAGCCTGCAGTCTAATGGAAGGACAGACAATTTAACAAGACTATTGGACAATGTGGTGAATGCTCTGATGATCAGGAGAAGTTAGCCTAAGGAATATATGCTTTGGGAGTAGAGTAGAAGATGTTGAAGAATGTGTCAGGCAGGGGATATATTATGTGAGCTCTACACAGGGCTGGAGGTGGGAGAGAACAGGATGCATTGCAGAAACTAAAACAAGTTTGATGTGTTCAACTTCAGGCTGGGGAGATAGTCTGTACCAGATAGAGAAGGTTCTTTGTAAGCCATTCAGAACTTTTTGGTCTTAGCATGTGTATTAGTTATCTATCGCTGTATAAAAATTACCCCCAAATTTCGCAGCTTGCCCTGGCTGGTGTAGCTCAGTGGATTGAGCACCAGCCTGCAAAGGTCACTGGTTCGATTCCAGGTCAGGCCACATGCCTGGGTTGCAGGATGGATCCCAAGTTGGGGCCATGTGAGAGTCAACCGATTGATGTTTATCTCCCTCTCTTTCTCCCTCCCTTTCCCTCTCTAAAAATAAACAAACAATCTTAAAAAATTTAGCAGCTTAAGTATTTTTATCTCACAGAGTTTTTCTGAAAGTCAGGAATTCTGAGCTGCTTATCTGATGGTTCTGGCCCGCAGTCTCTTAGAGGGTCAGTCCAGCTGTTAGCTGTGGCCATAGTCAGCTGAAAGTTTGACCAGGGCTTAAGGATTAACTCAAAATGGCTCACTCCCAGGATGGCTGGCAGGAGGCCTTAGTTCTTCAACATACAGGCCTCTCTTTAGGGCGGCTCATGACATGGCAGCTGACGTTCTCCCAGACAGGTGATCCAAGAGAGTACAACCAAGGTGGAAGCTACAGTGTCTTTTATAACCTAATGTCAGAAGTGACATACCATTGCTTCTGTTATACTCTGTTGGGCACACAGACCATCCGGTATGATTTGGGGGCAACTACACACATGTTATGAACACCAAGAGTTGAGGGTCATTGGAGGGTATCTTGTAGAATGGCTCCCACAATATGTATCTCTTTTTATTTAACCAAGATTTATTTTACTTCTTGGGCGTGCATGTTTCTGTTCATTTGTAGAAATTTTATAGCCATTATCCCTTCAAAAGTACCTCTCTTTCATTCTATTTCTTTGTTCTAGGATCTACAATTAGAAGTATGTTTGACCTTTTATTTTTCATATCCCTTATTTAGCTTATTTGTCATATATTATTTTTATCTTACTGTCTCTTGTAATGTCCTGGGCAGTTTCTTCAGATACAGATCTTCCAAATCACCAATTCTCTTTTTAGCTGACTCTCATTTGCTATTTAATCTGTACATTGAGTTTTTTATCTCAAAAATTCTTTTTCATTTTTATAAGTTTCATTTCTCCCTAAATCTGCCTCTTCTAAATATTATTTGTACACTCTTGTGATTGGACCTTTTTCTTTAAACACAATGTGTAGTTCTTCTGTATTTCTCATCTGACCGTTCTCACATGTGTAGTCCTTGGCAGTTTAAATCTGTTGTTTACTAGTTCTGCTGCCCTCCCAGGTGTTTGTTGATTTTTAATTGTGAGACATTATTTTCTTTTAATCTATGGGAATCGAGTGGGACTAAATTGGAGAAGCTGCCCTCTAGAGAGGATTAGCTTCTTTTCTTTTTTTTGTTTCTAGCCATAGTGAAGGTTCACCTCTGACCTGGAATACTTTAGCACATGTCTCAGGGATCCCAGGTCAGTATGAGAGTCCCAGGATTAGCTCTCCCTCTTCACCACTGACCCAGAACTAAGTATTTCAGCAGTGTGGCTATTTACATCAGTCCTTAGTTTAACCCCACCCTCCCTGAGCTGAACCCTTTAGCTTCTGCTCACATTATTCCTTCCTTCCTTCCTTCCTTCCTTCCTTCCTTCCTCTCTCTCCTTTCTTTCTATCTTTCTTTTCCTTTCTTTCTTTTTCTTTCTCTCTCTTTTCTTTCTTTTCTTTCCCTTCCTTCCTCCCTCCCTCCCTCCCTTCCTTCCTTCCTTCCTTCCTTCCTTCCTTCCTTCCTTCCTTCCTTCCTTCCTCTCTCTCCTTTCTATCTTTTCTTTTCTTTCTTTTTCTTTCTCTTTTCTTTCCCTTCCTTCCTCCCTCCCTCCCTCCCTTCCTTCCTTCATTCCTTTTCGAGAGGGGAAGGGAGAGGGAGAGAAACATCAATGCGCGGTTGCCTCTCTCATGCCCCCCAGGACCTGGCTTGCAACCCAGGCATGTGCCCTGACTGGGAATCAAACCAGCAACCCTTTAGTTCACAGGCTGGCACTCAATCCACTAAGCCACACCAGCCAGGGCTCTGCTTACATTTTTGAAAGAGGGAATGAGGTGGTTTTTTAAAAAATCTAGATTCTAGTTGTATTGCAGTGAAAGGATAGCTTTAGTCCGTGATAAACCCTGAAACCCCAAAGGTAGTTGATGTAGTTCTTAACTGGAATTGGACTGGATTTTGAATGGAAGAGTGACATACACACATTAGCATTTT